TATCAAATATACATTAATGTAAATAAAATAGTGACAAGTGTGTTTCTCAGATTCAAGTTTTTATTAAATATACATTAATGTAAATAAAATAGTGACAAGTGTGTTTCTCAGATTCAAGTTTTTATTAAATATACATTAATGTAAATAAAATAGTGACAAATGTGTTTCTCAGATTCAAGTTTTTTATTAAATATACATAATGTAAATAAAATAGTGACAAATGTGTTTCTCAGATTCAAGTTTTTATTAAATATACATTAATATAAATAAAATAGTGACAAGTGTTTTTCTCAGATTCAAGTTTTTATTAAATATACATTAATGTAAATAAAATAGTGACAAGAATCTGTCTCTACTGTCTCAATAATCTAAGTTGTAACATTATTCAGATCATATTATGATAATCAAGTAGTTTTAATTTAAATGGTAAATCAACAAGTGAACTATTAAAATAATAGGATACGTACAATATACTTTCAAACTTGTATCTAAAAGTATTATATCAATACATACACAAAACAATGTCGAAAAATATATTTTAATCGTTATTAAGACTGTCATAAATCGAAACATTAAAATTCCTGTTAACATCTCTACACTATAGGCCAACCTTTATACTTGTTCATTTTAAGTTTATTTAATCGTTCAGTTAAGAAAACTATGACATATGATAAGGTTATATCTTCTTGTTATATCTCGTGTTCTTTACTACAGTACTCGGCCATTAGGTTTAGCCATTATATCATCTACGGGTTGGCATGTTTCTCCTACGTATACACTGTGTTTTTTAATTATATGCTTAACTTCTTATTAAGGATTTAAAAATATGGGGTTCTTGTTTATCAATTAACAACCACACCTGATTTTGAAACTTGTTTCATTCCATCGTTTTCATCCTCAAGCTCACAGTGAAACAACAAACATTTTTTTAAATGTCATGAAAACTGTCTTACGTCATTTGGCAACAAAATGGTTTTATTTTTGCCAGGCATGCAACTCGGGGAAGGCAGCAATACTATGATTGATCATGAAAATGTATCAAAAGGAAATACTAATCAGTGAACTGAAAGCTGTCACTTAGACCATATATTACCGAGAGCTCACCTATAATTCTTCACCTGCTTGTCTATATGCGTGTCAAAATATAACACTTTGCCGAGATATGAAATCTGCCTCTCGATGACGTGTGTCGGGACTCCTCTTAAGCGAGCAAACATCGTTAGGACTTCTCTTCCAGTCATTTGCTCAATCAATGCATCAAACTGAGGACAGTAGCCTAGTTGGTGCTGAATCTATGGCAGAAAAAAACAAACTTGAAACAGTTAAGAATTTGGGTTTTTACAAACTATAATTTTCTTCATAACATATACGTGAAACACAAGTGTTACTATCAGCAGCACATACCTTTCTGACATTCCTTTTAACGCTAAAGCCATCGATGTAAGCATCTCCCGAAGAAATGACCACATCGCCTGTTAACATCTTGAAAGTGGTCGTCTTGCCTGCTCCATTAATCCCCAGCAGGCCAAAGCATTCTCCTCGTTGAATTCCAACGGAGAGGTTGTCAACAGCCAAGAAGTTATCATAATATTTTGTGAGGTCTTTGAGAACTAAGATGTTGGTTTTAAATAAGTCATCAATAAAGAGAGAGTTGATGTGTTCTCTTTCTTTTCTCACATCATCGTCGTCGTCTTCTTCTTCCCTCTGAATGGGAGTGACGAAAGAACTTTTTTTCTTGTACCATATCACCCGAAAAATATTAATTTCAGCAGCAAAAACTAAAATCCAGAAGATGATAGCTTGAAGGAGTAGAAAAATTAACAGTCTTCCAATGCCCGGGATATTCCAAGACAAGAAGTTCCTCTCCCAAGGTAGACACACTTCACCGCACTTCCCTGAAACGTAATTGTACCATTAACTTCTATATTATCACCTGTAATGAAATTTAAAATTGAATAGTCATTTTGTACTGAACATATTAAAATCCTGTTTGTGGTGATTTTACATTTGATGACAGATTTCGGCAAGGTGAAATTTCCTGCAGTGTATGTACAACTGTTTTGAATAAAGTATGAACATCTTTAATTACTATGAATCATGTGAAGACCTAACATTACTTTTT